TGAGCCCAAGCTCATGGTCTTCTAGTTGGCTTCAGATCTCCTAGTAAAACCTTCTAGCTCTTTGACCACATGTTTACTAGTGCTGCACATTCACTTACCATTTCCGACTATGGAAACAAGGACAGAGAACTTGTGGACCTCTCTTGTAGACCTATACCTTGCACAACACCCCTCTTTTTGGGGTCTGCTGGCTAGTGTTATTGAGGACTTGAATTCGACAACCCCTGCAGGGTTCCAGAGAAAGAAAGCAATGCAAAACCCAGGGATGACATTGTGAGGAGGGCCATTTGCCCCAGATCCTTCTAGAACCTGAATTATTATTATTATGGGTAAGAAAATACAAGTTGAGGATCTTCATTAGAAGAACTCCAACAAGCACACAGTCCATAATTTGGAGGTCATTTGGCTAAGGTTCTTCTAGAATCTGAACTAGAATTGTGAGTAGGAAAATACAAGCTTGGGACCATTTCTAGAAGGACTCCAATAAGCACGCAGGCCATAATTTGGAGGTCATTCGGCCAAGATTCTTCTAGAATCAGAACTATTGTTGTGGTAAGAAACCTCAAGCTTAGGGCCATCACTAGAATAACTCCAACAGGCAAACAGTCCATAATTTGGAGATCATTTGGCCAATATTCCTCTAGAATCTGAACTAATATTGTGGCAAAGAAAACACAAGCTGTTTTCTTTTTCATTAGGAGAACTCCAACAGACACACGGTCCATAATTTGGAGGTCATTTGGCCAAGATTCCTCTAGAATCTGAATTATTATTGTGGGTAAGAAAATAAGCTTGGGGCCATCGACTGGAAGAACTCCAACAGGCACAGAGCTCATACTTTACATCTGGCAAAATTGTTCCCTTCTTTTCTGCCTCCAACTTACCTGAGTGAGATTCCTCACCCTGATGCACATTTCTGTATTTTGAAGGAAAATGCCACTGTTATATGGATGAGTCAATCTTGCACATACCTAGAGATGGAAGGAAGATAATCCCATAGCTCTTGCGAATGGCAAGGGTGACTCTTTCCCCCGCTTTCTGTCCACGCTCATCACTTACGTATGGATTTTTAGTGGGATAGCCCAAGGTAAGGGCTAGAATGGAGTCTTCCTGCTCGTCAATCACCAGTCTGGTTTCCAAAGAGTAGTGCTTCTCCTTCTTGTTCACCGTGAACGTTTCCTGGAGAAGGAGACTTCGTGGAATGGGGAGACTTAGCGGATGCCTAGGATGCAAAGGAAGAGATGCAGGGGATGGAGATAGGGGCTGCTGAGGGAGGGGTCTTCTTAGGAGAGGGAGAAGACTTGGAGCAGGACTGCCGCCACCCTTGGCAGGATGACTAACAGTTTTAGGAGTTAAAAATGAATAAAAAAATAAAGATAGCAGAACCACTGTCTGGTCCAGGAAGGTAAGGAAGGAGATGGAAGAGGGAAGTACTTGAGGAAATGTCATCAGCTTCATTTAAGGAAAGGTATGTTCATTGTTCCTTATTATATTCAATAGAATAGAATAGGATAGGATAGGATAGGGTAGGGTAGGGTAGGATAGGATAGGATAACAGAATTGGAGGGGAACTTGGAGGTCTTCTAGTCCAACCCCCTGCCTAGGCAGGAAACCCTATACCATTTCAGACAAATGGCTATCCAATCTCTTCTTAAAAACGTCCAGTGTTGGAGCATTTACAACTTGTGGAGGCAAATTGTTCCAGTGAATAATTGTTCTTTTTTTAAAAAATACTTTTCCTTAGGTTTTTTGACTTTTCATTAGGTTTTTTGACCTTTAACAACAAACCATATGTACAATTTTTGCAGTAAGTTGTGGCACATTTACATTTATTGATTAATTGTTCTGTCAGGAAATTTCTCCTTAGTTCTAAGTTGCTTCTCTCCTTGATCAGTTTCCACCCATTGCTTCTTTACCTGCCCTCAGGTGCTTTGGAGAATAGCTTGACTCCCTCTTCTTTGGGGCAGCCCCTGAGATATCGGAACACTGCTATCGTGTCATCCCTAGTCCTTCTTTTCATCAAACTAGACATACCCAGTTTCAGCAACCGTTGTTTATATGTTTTAGCCTCCAGTCCCCTAATAATCTTTGTTGCTCCTCTCTGCATTCTTTCTAGAGTCTCAACATCTTTTTTACATTGTGGCAACCAACACCAGGTGCAGTATTGAAATTTTCAATTAAATCAGAACCTTTTGGTCTGAATTAGGCAATGATTCAAGTCCCTGCAGACTTCTTGGCATTTCTTTTTTTCCATTGCTTCCTTCCTAGAGCTGAGAGAAAGTGACCGGCTCAAGATCACCTAGCTGGCTTTGTGCCTAACGATGGAATCAGAACCCCTCTTCTGATGCTTTAACCACTCCACCTAACTGGCTCACTCAGGTAGCCTATCCCTGCTATAAATTCTAATGGATACGAGAAGGGAACCAAGATACCTGAAGAGAAGAGTTCCACGTTTCTGATAAAGCGTTTTTTCTTTCTTCACTTCTTCTAGCTCTGCCTCAAACTGTAGGACAAGAGGTGGGTTCTTGTGGTCTATCCACACAACAGACGTAGAAATGTTTGATTTTCTAGGCTGAAAACAAGAAGCCCTCAATAAGCTATCTAAGAAAAAAAAATCATTATACAATGAAAAGCAAACGATCCTAATTCATGAACACAAAGCTGAAAGGCTAGAGCAGGGCTCTCCAAACTTGGCAACTTGGAGACTTCTGGACTTCAACTCAGGGGTGGAATTCTACCGGTTCAGACCGGTTCACATGAACCGGTTGTTAAATTTGCATCTGGTTTGCCGAACTGGTATTTGAACCGACCGGCTGGCCCTGCCCATTCTTCCCCTCCCTTCCACTCCCAGGAGTCTCCACACAGCCCATTTTCTATGCAGGTAAGTGCAGGGTCCATGTGGAGACTCTTGGAGGGGGGAAAAATGGCCGTCCCGGAAGTACCGGAAATGGGCCTGCTTCTGGCTTCCACCATTTTCGCCCTCCGAGAGGCCTGAGGGAAGCCTCTGAACCCTTGGGAAGGTGAAAAACGGCCTTCCCGGAAGTTCTGGTAGGCCATGCCCACCGTGGCCACAGCCACCCAGCAACTGGGCAGCGAACCGGTTGCTGGGATTTTTGAATCCCACCCCTGCTTCAACTCCCAGAATTCCCCAGCCAGCATGTGCCTGTTCATAGTTCCCATCCCTCCTGTTCTTTGCCAAAAAAGGGAGATATCATTTTACCGCTTCCAAGTGGCAATAAGATGCTGTCAGATTAAATTCCTTCTTTGCAGATGTCAGTCTAAAATGAAGAAATTTGGTGTGTTGATTGTTTTCCAGGAGGATTTCATGCTTTATTAGTTGGCTCCACAATGACATTATTTCATTCTGGCTGTGCAGGAAACCTTCTGTAAAATGATTGATTGTGGATGCCTAATAAGTCAAAAGAAGATATTCTCAATTCTGTCATTTTTGGAAATAAAGAGAATTCTAGAAGCGATGCCTTTTCTTTGTAACACATTGCCTCCCTATTATTTAATCCTGACGCATCTGTTCATAACTTAATAACTTCATGTGGTTGAGCTTGTTAACTAGTAACTTAATTTGCTCATTTTCTAAGTTCTGTAATAGAGTGTAACCTTTGTTTAATGGATCCTCATTTACTGGACTCTGAATACAACAGGCTAAATTTCTGCCTGGTCGCCCTCCAGAAATAACAGACAAGTCCATTTAATCTGAAGTAGTCCACAACTTGAATGTGTGAAACGATCTTGAGACTGACAGAAGAGAAAAGAGAGGGAGTTATCTTTAGTAGATTGCAGAGGTTATTCCTGGCTTTTTGGAGGAATGGGTTCATTGCCCATGATACTAGTGTCAACTGGTAAAACATTCCTGGCCTACTCCCAAGTTGCCATAGGTGGGGGTGGGGGAAAACTGATGGAGCAACATGGTAGCCACAACCAGAAGCACATGCCATGCGTACCTTCTTCAGGGCTGGTATCCCAGGCTACCAGGACCAACCGAAGAGGCGTGATCCCTACAGTCCATGAAAGTGCTCCGTTGGAGAATGTGATTTATGACACACCTTGGGGGGAGGGCGGAAACAGGGTCATAGGTGGGCCGTAAATTACGTGAGGCAGAGCTGACTTCATTTGGGTATGGTGCCGAACATGTTGTTCCTAATAAATAACTGGATTTCTTTTGAAACTTGGCTCTAGGCTCATGGTTTAATTAGGGCATCCGTCGGAATCCTGACAGCTATCCCTTTGAGAGACTAGATTCAATCTCTTCAAGGAGATCCCGTCTTCATGAACTGTTTGCTACAAATGGGCTAGAAGTTTCCTAACTCCGTTCTCAAGGTTTGGTGCTCTATGCTTCCTTCTTGGTACTAAAACTAACTAAAGGAAGTCCATATGAACCTGGCTTCTAGGAGGAGAAATGGCAACTGCCGCAGAATGAAGAAACATCGAGTAGACAGGCTCTTCCAAATTCTTCTCTGGACTAGGAGATGACTTGAGATCATCCCCAAATGCTCCAGACAGCTGTTCCTTGCAAGGAAACTACAATATAGCAGTCTTCAGTAGGTTTACAGTTCTGGGAGAGGAAGGAATAACCACCTTGCTCAAACTGTGACTGGCATCTTTGAAATGGCACTAAGTTCAAATGCTTTCTTCCTAATCGTTTTTGGAAATGGCTCACTAATTGCTCTGCAATTAAAGCATTTCTACCCAATATTTTTATATTCAGAATATTGTCACAGTGGCTACTTGGCAACGCTCCAGTCTACAATTGCAATGGAAAGAGAGGGAATCAACCAAGAGGAAGAAACTAACTCTCAGATAGGTAGTTGTCGATGTGCGGAGCTCAATTCTGCCTTCCTTCTCAACATCGTGGTCTTTACAATAGAGCTCCAGGATTAAGCCCTTGACAACAAAAGCTTTACCGACGGTTAATTCAACAGTGGTGAAGAAAGCCGACTGCTGGAACTGGTGGAATTTGTGAGTGACATACAGATACAGCCAGGGTGTGTCCATGTTGAATGTACCTGTAAAGAAGAAAACACTTTGTTTCTGAAAGCTGCCCTTTAAGTTTATTTATTTTCTAATAACTCCAGTTGGTTCTTTATATGCGTCATTTAATTTTTCCCATGCAAAGGGAACCACAATGCACAATCTTTCACATTCTTGTGAAAATAAGGAGTTTGAAAGGTCTTTTAAAAATAAATGTGCTTTAACTCTTTTAGATTTTTTTTCTCTCTCTCTCTCCTTCTCTCTCTCCCCCCTCTCTTTCTCTCTCTCTCTCTCTCTCATCTATCATTCTCTTTCTCTTTCCATCCATCTATCCATCCATCCATCCATCCATCCATCCATCCATCCATTTTATTCAATTTCTATAGCCGCCCATCTGAAATACGTGTTTTTGTAAAGTTTTTCTTGGTTTAATTCTCAAATGTATGTCGGTACAGCAAAATTACATAAATATAAACAATTTATGATGTTTTCTTTTTCTTGACCAACCTCTGAGGCTGATCCTTTATTATTATTTTTTTCCAGTAAAATATCACTACCACCAGGACGAGACTTTCCGGCCATGCGTGTGATTGGAATCTTACCTTCCCACTTCTTCAGCAAACGGCCAGAAACATTTTTCCACTGCAAGTCAGCTATAAAAAGGATGCGGTTGTTATAATGCACCTTGAAGCTGGTGCTGCTTTCTAGAGAAGGGTGGAAAGAAGTGGAATGCTGCAGCCGAGTCCTGTAATCCAGATTCTTTTCGGGCACTTGGATCATGAACTAGAAGGAAAAATCAGTTGTGCCCAAGTTATAGGAAAAGGAAGTCTTTGGATGCAAAGGATCAGTGGCTACAGGTAGCCCTTGATTTACGACCAAAATCAGAGCCAGAGTTTCCATTGCTAACCAAGGTGAGTCATGCCTGAGTTTACAACCAGCTTTGCCACAGTTATGTAGCAAAGCCCTTCAGCTGTTAAATGAATCATATGTGTCAACTCATAAAATAATTCTATGGTCTTTTTAGAGTTGCCAACAGAAAGGGAGGGGCAGAGCAGTGCAGCAGCTTGCAAAACCGAAACTTCATTCCTTAAATGTTTTCAAAGATAGTAACTAGGTGACTGAAGTTTCTGCTGTGCAAAATTCTAACTGGAGAGCATGGTTGATGACTCTTGGCTATGGATGTGTCCCATTGGAGAATATGAATTATGATACACCCAGGGGGTGGGGGGAAACTAGATCAAGGGTGACAGTGAATGATGTGTCTCAGAGTCGGCTGCACCCAGGCAGTGCCAGACAGTTTAACTCCCAATAAATCCTTCTGAAGTTCTGGAAGTTTGGCTCGAGATTCATGATTTAAATAGGGGTAACTAACTGCCAGAATCCTGACAACATGGTTGTTAAGTGAATTCAGCCAATAAATCCTTCTGAAGTTCTGGAAGTTTGGCTCAAGATTCATGATTTAAATAGGGGTAACTAACTGCCAGAATCCTGACAACATGGTTGTTAAGTGAATTCAGCTTTCCCCATGGACTTTGAGCACGAAAAAGAGTATCAGTATCTGTACCGCTATTGCTTGGAAAGCAATTGGGGTAGCAGCAAGAGTTGCAATAAACGTATGGCATTAATGCCTGCAATTCTTAAATCAACAAATAACAAAACAATACTATCTTCTTGACAACTGCAGTAGGGATGATTTGGAGGATTTTAAAAAAAGACAACTTGAAGACCTGCTTTGAAGGGAATTTGCTTCCTGGAGGCCAGTTGGGAAGGTCTCAAATGGCAAACACATCAGTGGTGGGATTCAATTTTTTTTTTACTACTGGTTTAATGGGCGTGGCTTGGTGGGCGTGGCAGGGGAATAATACTGCAAAATCCCTATTCCCTCCCCACTCCTGGGGACAGGTTGTTGCATTTGCTCCCCACCCCCCCTAACCTGCTTTCCAGCTCTGTTCTCCTGTGCAGGGCAACCAAAGAAGACCCAGCCGATCAGCTGGGACTCAATGGGAGGCAAAGAATAGATGGGGGTGGGGCCAGTCAGAAGCAGTATTTGCCGGTTCTCCGAACTACTCAATATTTCTGCTACCGGTTCTCCAGAACGGATCAGAACCTGCTGAATACCACCTCTGGAACACATGACCCAGGATGCTACAATCATCATGGCAGGAAGCTCAAAACAAATGGTGACTTTGCAAAGTAGGTTGGTGGCTGACAGTCAAATGGAGATTTGACTGTCTAACTCGCCTACTCGCCTTCCAACACCAGACAAACCCAGTAAAAAATGTGACACATTTAGTCCTGCTAAGTCAAGGGTCAGCCACCTGCGGCTCCGGAGCCGCAGGTGGCTCTTTCATCCCTCTGCTGTGGCTCCTTGTCACCGGTCGGCTCCCCAATTGATAGGGCTTTTGGTTAGGACAGGTAGAGGAAAAAGGAGGCCATGCTAGGTGGAGACTCTAATGCAGGGGTGAGTTTCTACCGGTTCTGTCCAACTCTGTAGAACCGGTAGCTCTGAAGAGCAGCAGACATAGAACCGGTTCTATGTCTGCTGATGTTTTTGCCCACCCGCCCACCTGGGCTCTTACCTGATCTTTATTTCCTGATTTTTTTCAACTTCAGCTGCTGAACGAGGCACAGCTGCAGTTAAAAAAGCAGGAAAAACAGGGCTGTTTCAAAGGCTGCGTCTCTGCACACAGCCTGCTGATGAGGATTTACAGGCGTGTGGCTCACAGCATGCGGGGAAGCTCGTAAATCCCGAACTGGTAGTTAACCCTGTCATATCCCACCCCTGCTCTAATGGTAGCGGAAATGGACTTCCGGTCGGCAGAGGAAAAAGGACGCCACACTAGGAGGTGGCTCTATGGTGGGGGGAACTGGATTTCCGGTTGGCTCCAGAATTGAACAGGGGACCTCCGGTTAGGACCTTTGTGGCTCTTTGTGTTTAAGGTTGCCAACCCCTATGCTAAGCCTACCTCCATGAAGTAGCTCCTCAGAGTGGCCTGCGAATGATTTTTGAACATCTGGCTGATGATCAGCTTCCTCATATTGTTGGCTTCATCCCAGTGTTTCCCGTAGTTAGCCTCCAAGCGGGAGTGCAGCTGAGTTGCAGTGTCTTCATGCTGCAAATGGACCTGGAGAAAGGTTACAGGTTTCGAGCGTTTAGCATCTTCCTTCCTAGCAACTGCTCTTCCAAGGAGAAACATTTGGGAGACAGTCCTGGATTGTGGAATTTGGGCCAGGTCCTAGTCCCCCGTTGTAGAGAATAACTACATGAACCATGGTGGCGCAGTGGTGAGAGTGCAGTACTGCAGGCTGCTTCTGCTGGCTGCTGGCTGCCTGCAATTTGGCAGTTCGAATCTCACCAGGTTCAAGGTTCGTCCTTCCGAAGTGGGTAAAATGAGGACCCAGATTGTTGGGGGCTGACTCTGTAAAGTGCTTAGACAGGGCTGTAAAAGCACTGTAAAGCAGTATATAAGTCTAAGAGTGCTATTGCCCTCCCTCCCTCCCTCCCTTCCTTCCATGGTGCACAGTGGGTAGAATACAGTGTTGTAGACTGTGTCTGCCCACTGCCATCAGTTCGATCCTAACTGGCTCAAAGTTGACTCAGCCTTCCGTCCTTTCGAGGTGGGTAAAAAACGAGGACCCAGATTGTTGGGGGCTGACTCTGTAAAGCGCTTAGAGAGGGCTGTAAAAGCACTATAAAGCGGTATATAAGTCTAAGTACTCTTGCTATAACGAAGATGACTTAGATGGAGATATGCAAGATCTCCGTGTTACCAAAGCAATGGAGAATGAAGCAAATCTGAAATCCACAAAATACGCAGAAGAAACTTCACTCACATACATATAAGAAGGGGAGTAGTATAGCACAGCCAGATGTCAATATTTCTCTGGTCTTTTTAGAGTTGCCATTAGCTTTGCAAGAGCCTGTTATTGCAACCACTCTCAATAAAAGTACTTTCCTGGTCTCATCTACCTGTAAGGGCTGACACTCATCCAGGTAGTTTCTTTCCATCGCTTCATCCCACCGTTGCCTGCCTTCACGCCCAACTTCTATCCAATCCCCTCGCATCCAATCAGAATACAGCTGGAAGGGACTTTGGAGGTCTTCTAGTCCAACCCCCTGCTGAAGCAGGAGACCCTATACCATTTCTGATATTCCTTCCTGGGGTTTGCCCCTTTTTGGAACCAATGCACCTCTTTACCTTGTGATTGTAAGTTAGACTCCGAGTACAGTGAAATTTGTGCTCCAGATCCAATCTGTAAACATCTGGCCAGCTGTTCTCCAGCTTTAACTTCTGAGTCATGTTGCATTCATGCTGGAGCTTCTTGGCATCTCCTTCTCCGATGAAGCACGCATGTAGGGGTGGAGAAATGTTTTCATTACAAATTGGAATGTTTTTTGACAGCCTTCTCTGTCTTTCCTGATCAGGTGTTTCCCCAAGATTTAGATCAATTCCCAACATCACTAACGATCATAGAACCTGATCCCATAGATCTAAGCTTTCATGCTATTGACTAATATTCTACTCAGATTTGGAATGGGGTAGCCTGATCAAATTTTCCATAAATCCTTTTAAGCATGTATATCGATTTTCCCATTTTTCTTAAGAAAATGCATTAACTGGGCCAACCACCTGACTTGACTCGATTTTAAAACCATTTAATGCTGTTGTTAATGAATTGCTACAGTTGTGAATCCAATGACAGGATCATTAAGTGAACTACATGGTCATTAAGTGAATCCATTCTCCAGAATGGCTGTTTTTTTAAAAAAAAAATACCACCCATAGAGACGAGAAGGGAATTTATCTATATATATATATATAAAAGCGAAATACAACTCATGCATCATCACAAAATCTCCAGAACCATAAAGCCTACAAACTTGACATTTGGCACCTATGTTCCTCTTGGCTTCTAGGGGCTCACTAAGAAAGGATTTTCAAAATGACCATCAGAGCATTAGTATTTCCTATATTATTATTATTAACATGCTCTGATGCTAAGTAGTTCTACTCCCCCTCCCCACCTGAAAAGAAATCTGTTCCAAATGCAAAACACAAGTGAAAAAGTTTCAGTTTCACAGCAGCAAGCAGCTTTAGTACAGGACAGTTGAGCTAAGCCACACCCAGGCTCCTTGCTGTCTCCTTCTTGCTCATACAGCAAATACTGTTTCAGTTTCCAAACAGCCCTCAACTCTCTCACACACTGACAGGAATACCGATGGATGCTGGTAGGCAGAGACAGAATTTTCCCCCCTTATTTTTCTCCCCCAAAACTAAGCCTGACCACATAGTTTCAAAACACTAGTACAGTACCAAACAATCCATATTTAATTCTCAGGATGTCGGACCAGACGTGTCCTCGTTTTTGCAGAAGAAAAATGATGCGAGATCCAAAAACGCCGGGAATGTGGGTTTCTCCTTCCAGGGAATAGTGCCTTAGCTCATTATTTGCCTTTTTCTCAAAACACACTAAGAAACAAACACAAAGGCTATCAAAATCAGAAATGCATGACTTATGAACAGGAATACAGGTCGTTCACAACTTACGACGGTTCGTTTGGTCAAATTTGGACACTTGGCAACTGGCATGGACTTAGCACTGTTGTAGTATTCCCGGGGTCATGTGGTCCCCTTTTGCGACCTTCTGACAAGCAAAGTCAATGTGGGGAAAAGCCAGATTCTCTTAATGACTGGTGTTACTGACTTAACCTCTGCAGCCATGCACTTAACAACGGTGGCACGAAAAGGTGGCAAAACTGAGCTAAACTCACTTAATAACTGTCTTGCTTAACAGTAGAAGTTGTGGGCTCAATGGTAAGTCGAGGACTACCCATATAAACAATCACGCGGGCAGTGCTGAAGGCAGCATTTATTTTATTTATTTATTTTTTGCAAAAAGAGCATAACGAAATCCACAATTTCAGAGTTCTTTAGGGTGGCATTCACTCTTTAGAGCTGGTCTTCAGCCGGTTCTGACCAGTTCTGGAGAACCAGTAGCGGAAATTTTGAGTAGAACCGGAAAATCCCGCCTCTGACTGGCCCCGCCAACCCCATCTATTCTCTGCTTTCCCATGGAGTCCCAGTGGATCGGCTGGGTCTCCTTTGGTTGCCCTGCACAGGAGAACGGAGCTGGAAAACAGGTCAGAGGGGTGGGGAGGGAAATTCCCCTGCCACACCCACCAAGCCACATCCACAGAATGCCACGCCCACCAAGCCATGCCCACAACTGATCAGTTGGGTCTCCTTTGGTTGCCCTGCACAGGAGAATGGAGCTGGAAAGCAGGTTAGTGGGGTGGGGAGGGGATGGAGATTTTACAGTATCCTTCCCCTGCCATGCCCACCATGCCACACCCAGCAAACCACACCCACCGAGCCACGCCCACAGAACCAGTCGTAAAAATTTTTTGAATCCCACCAGTGTGTGTGTGTGTGTGTGTGTGTGTGTGTGTGTGTGTGTGAAAATGGCTTTCAGCAATCCTACATTTATATTGGCTTTGTTTCTGCTCCTTTGTCCATTTTTATGAAGATTTAGCATCCACAGGCCATGAATTTTGTGATCAAAATTCCAAATCGTAAGTGGTAGACTACCTGAATAATACTTTTCCACATTAGGTATTGCTTTTGTTTGTTTGTTTGTTTGTTTCTTTTTAATCCACATAGCTTTAGCAGAAGATTTATTTAGGCAAGGAGGAAGGCTTTAGGTCTGTCTCCAGTTTTACCCAGGTTGTCTCTCTGAGGCTGCAGTGTCCTTACCTGCAAAGGATGCAGCATCCTTCAACAGGTTAATCAAGGATACTGAAAATGCCACCTTCTGGCCAGCCAGTCTCGTGAGATTTCCTGCAAGAACAACAGGACTTCCATGTCTTAGCAATTTGGCTTCCAGACGGATTGCAAAGCTCGGTTCTCCAGCCACGGATTGCAAATCGGTCCTGCCCTACAGAAATCAGACGTATCTCATTGGTTTTGGTGGATTAAAACATCTGGTCGGAGACCCACAAGCGCCACTTCCTCAGTAGAAGATACATTGACTGGGTCTTTGGTTCCAAACAGGTGAGATACCTACCTTGATGTAATAAATGGTGTTATCATTGACTATCAGTTCCAAATGCCCAACACGAGAGTATTTTGAGATTTCAATTTGGCCTGGTAAAGGCAGAAAAAAAAAAGAATAAGTTAATTCCCGCTTCTGTTTTCCCACGGATAGACAGCCTAATTGCAAATGGAAGGCAACTTTTAGACAGGTAGACTTCAACTCCCAGAATTCCTCAGCCAGCCAAAGCTTCAGTTCACAAGATCTTCTCACAAAAGATCCTTTTTCTAACCCCTTCTTAGCTTTCCTCCAGTTGCCTAATATAGGGATTGAAATTTGTTATTTTTTTAAATAAATAATTGTGAATTGCCCATTCTTTTGTCAATCTCTCAAAGCTTCTTCCAGAGATCTTCAGCTGACTTCTCTCTCTTTTTTGGTTTCCAGTTCTTGGAGACTTGAGGGTTTAAAACTACTTCTTTGCCATGGAATTCTGGGCAGCTTTGATCATATAATTCAAGAGTTTTTAAATCTCATGTTTTCAAATTTTGCAGGAGATGATGATGACATGATGATGATGGGAAAGAGAAAGAAGGTGAAAGAGGAGAAGGAGGAGGAGGAGAAAGAGGAGGAGGAGAAAGAGGAGGAGGAGGAGGAGGAGGAGGAGGAGGAGGAGGAGGAGGAGGAGGAAGAGGAAGAGGAAGAAGAAGAAGAAGAAGAAGAAGAAGAAGAAGAAGAAGAAGAAGACAACTAAATAAATATGCTACATGGTGTTCAAGAAGAAATTTTGGAAGCTCTACTGTTATATGCTTCCTGTATGATGATGACTTAGATCTCCCAACGGATGGACACCAAGAAGTTCCAACTGGTCCTCAGTTCTCACCATTCAGTAACATTTTTGCCTTTGGCTCAGTGTATTCAATTCTGATTTTTCTCTGAGGGATGTTCCAGTGGAAGTCAAAAGCCACATTTCTCTTCAGCTCTGATTCCAGACTCCCCATAAAGAAATGGAGCCTGGCTTCATTTGGAATCCAAGAACCTTTCTGGAGAAGAAGAAAGATACATCGTAAGACCAAGTAAAATCTCAAAGTGTGAATTTCAAAACCGACTATACATTACAAAATATAGAAGTGGTCCTTGACTTACAACCATTTGCTTAGCAAACATTTGACATTACAATGGCACTACATAAGTGACTAAAAACCAGCCTTCACATTTACGACTGTTGTACAATCCTCATGGTCACATGATCAAAATTTGGCCACTTGACATATGTTTAAAATGGTTGCAGCATCCTGAGGTCATCTGATCCCCATTTGCAACCTTGCCAACTGCCTTCTGACAAGCACAGTCAATGGGGGAAGCCAGATTTACTTAATGACCGCATGATTCACTTAATAGCTGAAGTGATTTGCTTAACGATCATGTCCAAAAGTTGCAAAATCCGGTGGCGATACCCTTAACAACCGCCTGGCTTAGCAACTGAAATTTTGATTCCAATTATGGTTGCAAGTCAAGGTCCACAAAAATGAATCTTAGCCTTATAGGTGTCATTTCTGTCTATCTGTCTGTCTGTATACCAGACAGAAGTTAAGAACTAGACCATCCTATTATCCTATGTGGTGGACATGTCCAAAGGCAAAAAAAAAAAAAAAATGGACAAAAATACACACATGGTTAGAGAAAAAGTGAAAGCAACATATAGATTTAAAGCCAGAAATATTTTTGTTAGGTATACTACCAGGAAAAAATATGAGAAAGGGAATATATATTTAATATTGCATGTCTTGACAGCAGCGAGAATTGTATTTTCACAACACTGGAAGAACGAGGAAATTCCTACAGATGAAAATATTATTAAAAGAATATTAGAATGTGCAGAAATGGATAGGTTAAGACTAAAGATGAAAGACAAAGAAAATACAGAATATTTTTTAACATGGGATTTGCTCTATCAATGGTTAGATAATAGAGGCAGAAGTTAGAAGTTGAAAGATTATTAATATGTATAAATAAACAATATTACTATTACTATGTATAAAGTAAATTGACCCAGACAATATACTGTTTACCAAGCACTAACGTATGCTAAAGAAAAACGGATAAATAAAATTGTCAGTTTTGGAAGCCATATTGAGACCAGATGCTCCCACGCTGCCACATTTTGAGCCTGGGAAAGTGGGAGGGGGGAATTTCTCAGAGTATATGTAGTTAGACATAATAACATTCTTTTTCTGATTCAAGGTCATGTTGTTTTGTGCATAAGTGAGAGAAAGTCTCAAGTTGGGACGGATGGTGATTGGGCCATGTGATGTGATGATGGATTTGTAGTTTTTACTTATTGTAAGGAAGCCCGGAACTTTCAGATTTGGGATTCCCCAGATGTGCCAGTTATTATCCAAATAAAAAGGAACCTTTGAGAAGATGTCTGTCTTGGAGTTATTGGGCGGAATGGAGGGTTGCTGGAATACTGACAAAAATATATATAAAAAGGAGAAGTTAAGAATCAGACCTGAGCAACATAATTATATGCTGCTTTTATTAAATACTGCTGTAGGTTTCTGTCCTGTTTTCTTAGCATAACGGTGACTTTCGCTGGTCCAGGGAACGGAAGAAGGAAGCTACTAGTCTTGTCATCAGGGAGAAAAACCTCTGAACACAGCTGCCAGCCAAATGTTTTCGATACTGCAGTTAAAACCAAAAAGGAGAAAACCATTTTTAAAAGTGAAGGTGTCATTCTTTGGTGTCACTCGTCCAGGGAAATATTCTTAGTATCTATCAGCCATATCTTGTTCTAAGATGGACATGCATCATGCAAAATGCTTTGTGATGAGCCCATTTCTTCTAGATTACGTGGAGTTTCTACCTGCGGCTTTATGTTTCAAATGACTTTAAAATAGGGAGCGGTTTAAAAGGATCTGTTACCTTCCTCACTGGTGCACAGGTCAGTTTGGCCTGGAAAACTGTCAATGGTTTTCATTTTCTCCCTTGCAGTAATGTAGAGTTTAGAGCTATAAAAGAAAGAGAGAATCAGAATTCCTATAATGCCTTATAGGAATTCTGCTCACTGAGCAGTTTTGATACACAGGAATCACAAAAACTGTTTCGTGTGGCTATTTGGCACATAATTATCCTACATAAATTAATTAATGTTCTAATCATCATCTACAAATAAGGGAGCAGCAGGATGCTTCATGACTACCCTGTCAAGCACAGCTTCTTTCAGTTGTTGGATGGATCGGCTTTGATGTTATTAATCCAGCGTCTTGTTTGCTTGCTCCTTCTTCTTGTTCCACTAACCATTCTTAGCATCATTGACTTTACCTCTAGGTTAGATGAAATTAGGAGATCTATAGTAAGCTCATCCCATTAGTTCCAATTCCACATTCCAATTATAGAGGATGAGCTTGGCCTACATTTAATTGTTGACTCATAAGTGATTTCCGAGGAGCCTCAAGGAACAGACTCTTGTACAGGGGTTATCTGTAGGATATGGTCAAAAACTGATACACAAAAAAATAGTTCCAATTGAAGATATCTTAGCTCAGGGTTGAGCTGTGGAGTCCTTGGTGCTCTCTGAGCTTGGTGAAAGTCTATGGAGAGTCTCGATCATCCAGGTCCTGGTTGTCCCAAAGGTGCTTTTTCAGGAGGCAACTGGACTTTCTCGTTTTTCTTTGAAGATGTTTCACTTCTCATCCAAGAAAAGCAGCTCTGACTGGTTGGTGGGGAATTCAGAGCATTAGGTTCTTCTCCAGTGAGAAGAACCCTAACCCTAACCCTCAAACTCAAACTCAAACTCAAACTCACACTCACACTCACACTGACCCTTAACTCTAACCCTAACCCTCAAACTCAAATTGAAACTCACACTCACACTCACAC